TGTGTTCAGCACTTCTAATACATTTGGCAGCACAAAATGTTTCTGTAGAATAAACAGAACGTGTGCTATTGCACAATAGTCCACAGAATCTGTACATCTCATATCAATTTAGAGAAATAAGTACAAAACCATGAGCTAACTAAACTTAAACATTAAGACTTAAGGCTCATTTGAAGGTGTTATTGCAATTACCTTGTTATGTGACAAAAACAGTTATGATAATAGCAGTGTTTGGAGAAAGAGGGTTGTCAGTTATTGTAGCGTATGATATAAAAAATGTGGGTTTTGTATTAACAGTATATCAACTACAATGGCTCAAAAAAGAGCATCACAGAACTGCCTGCTGTTTGACAAAAGCATATTGGAATCATGAGCTTAACATTAAACCCACTGCCAGGTATTTCAATCGATAAACACTTCCCTTACTTTTTCTGTTACCACTACATTTTTCAGCCAACTCGTTCTCTCTTTATCTCTAACTCTCACCTGGTTTACACATTAGCTCCTTTCTCCTCCTATCAGAGTAGTAACCTGCGGGTCAAAGTTCAGGGCCAAAATAACACTACGAGAGCCACATAGATATTAACCATGTGTCACATCACACACTGCCCTCTGAGCAGGATCACACCCATGTACATCTACATAGGCTTGCAGTGACACACACATACTGTTTCATACACACTGAAGCATTTAACATTGTATCACTCAGATAAAACTACTTTTTTTAGCTTTACTGTCATATGTTTTGATGTTTTGTTGATTGCAGAATTTTCTAATCTCTCTCCCTTATACACACACACGCTCAGTTGAGCAGTGGCAAGATGTGACGTGGACACACAGGCACAGGTTCATGCAGGGTATCGTGTTTATTTTTCACTCGCCAATGGAAGCTTTAGAAATGGAAAAGCTACTTATTAAACGCAACTGTTAGACTAGAGCCAAATCTATAATGCGTCTGTGTTGCCCCAGCACCGTGACCTTTTAGTCCAAATGTTGATAGGCCTTAATTGTATTTAGCTGCTGTAATTCCACTAACAGTCTGACCCAGAGGCTAATCCAGGGCAGCCAGGCAGCGAACTGTGCACTCTGCCAGCTGCCATTTGCTGAAGTGGCATTTTGAAAGTCGCAGCTGAAATGTCCCATGGTACCTCTGTTTGCATGCACTTTCCTCCTCTCCCTCATTCACGTGCCCTCATTTTACCTACACGGGATGCTGCTTTGTTTGGGGTTTTAGGGATTTTAGTGCTTTTTCAGCTGTAAATTTGGTATCAGATTGTCACTGTATATTGTTAAGTTTTCAAGCTTTTTTTCTCCTATTACTGTCAGATGATAAGGTCAGTCAATCACATTATGCTAAGCCTTGGTGCACCAATTAAAAAGCAGGAAACAGCTTATGGCAGACACCCAAATCTGACTTCATACTCCCATCCCCCTTCTATTCTCTATCTCTGACCCTGGTTTCCTTTTTTTTTATCCTCAGGCATCTGTTTCTCTCTGTCATTTCTGTCTCTCTTGCTCTTTCGCTGCCCTCCTCTATGTCAAGATACTACATCTCTCTGTCTTTACACTTGTCTGTCTCTCTCTCTATTCCTTTGGACCTTTCCATAATCACCCCTCTCTCCCTTTGCTTTCTCTCTGTTCCTCTGTCTCGTCAGCCAGCTGCAGGCGAGGAAAAACAGAGAGTGATGTGTCTCCGTCAGAAGTACGCAAGTGCTCTGCCTCTCAGCCACGAATAACCCCCACAATGAGGCTTTTGAAAAGTCAAGTGGATCAAGTAGATTCACAACTCTTTGCAGGATTAACCACTAATCAATATGAGAGCAAATTAATACCTGTGAATTCACATATCAAAAGCAGCAGAGTGCTAACAGGTCATAGAATTTGTGGAACATCATTGACTTTTGATTATATGATAAATTGTCCATGAAAGTCAGGAACAACGTGTTTTACAACTTGTTCAGTGCATCAGTGAGAAGCCCAAAAAAGGTGGAAACCAGGTTGTCCACCCACGTAGAAGAGATTTTTCTTAGATGAAACACATTAACAAGCCAGGACAGAGTGACAGTTTTAGGTTATGGAAGTGCTCTGACTTAGAAATGGACAGTCAGGGAAGAGTCTTTGGAGACTGCCCTCCCAAGGAAAACGACAGAATCAGTCTATGACTTAAAAACATGTTTGACCAGATAATCTTTGTGGAAAATGCAGCACCTTGCTCTGGGACTACTTTCACCCCCATGCTCCTCAAAGCAGAGATTTATTTTCTTTGGTTTGTGAAATCCTGCAGAGACACGTGTGGCTAATCTGACAGCCGTCCTTTGCAAAGCAAGACAAGAGTTGCTGGAGTGCGAGTGATGAGGAATGTCCCATTGTGCAACATCTTTGTGACAGGCAACACCTCTTCATAGCTCAGCCCAGCCCTGCGATACCGTGCTGTTTGCCAAAGGAGACCACATTCTTTTCCGGGTACACGGGTTGACACAAGTTCGCAGAGAAAACTAGTACTTTGAGGTCAACACCTTTTGTGCAGAGGTATTTTTTCTGCTCAGAGGACAGGCTAGAATTAAAGGCATTTTTATAACGCTCTTGAGTGATTTGACCTCTCGTTTTTTAGAAGTGCCACGGTGCGTCCAATTGACACAGCTGCTGTGTGTGAGGCGACAGGTGATGCAGAGTTGAAAAGCATTTTCCAAACCCCTCCTTCTCTTTTTTCTTTCACCCCTCTCTCCACCTCCTGCCTCCACCTGTCTCTTTATGTAAACCACCACTCTCTATCTGAAGCCTCATCTCAGGCTGTATTCAAACATAATGAACCTTTTTTCTTTCTTTCTCCCCTCTCCCTGCCCTCAATCTCCTGTCTCTCAACTTATCACCTCTCACGCTCTCCTTCTCCACCTTATCTTGCCATTTCACCCTTCTACCTCATTTTTTCCCTCACACGTGACCCCCCCTTTGCATTTTCATTGCCTCTCTCTCCCTCACCCTCTCTCTCTCTCTCTCTCTCTGTAACAGTAGATGGAGTTATTAGTCAGACAGTGGGGATGACTGAACAGGTGTTTTCCAAATGGGCCTTTGAGCACTCGCCGCATCATCATTACCCCACAGAGGGGGGTTGGGCATTTGTGTGTGTATGTGTAGATGTGTGTGTACGAGTGCTTGGCCTCTGCATGCCCTTTTCGCCTCAGGCTGAGCCATTTGCCAGTACAGGGAGGGGTCAGGGGTGTTACCTTATATATTCATGTGCGGTGTGTGCATGTGTGTATGCATATGCGGGTGCATAACATATGTAGGTGTGAAGAAGTATTATATCTTTACCAGCTGCTGCTTGTCGTTACTCATTGATGCACAACAGCAGTGCAGAAGGGCCTTGGCCTGGCCACTTTCCACCGCTCCACTGAAAAGATGAGCGCTGACATATTTAAAAGTCAGAGAAATGTTCCCGTCTCCACACTTTTCGCCCCCTTTGACCCCATTCTGTAAACCCCCCACCCGACACATTTGACATGCCCAATTTCACTCTTTCTTTCCCGTCTCTGTCTCCTCTCCCTTCTGTTGCTCCTGCAAGCTTTTAGGTTACTCTTTCACTACTTCAGACTGTGCAGAGGCCGGATTTGATGTATCTCATACTGTTATAGCAGGCCTCTTAAATCATACAAGTGTAATAACAACCTGATAACAGATACTTTTATCTGTTAACAGTTGTCAGCTGGACTGAGATGAAGATATAGGCAAACATAAAAACAGACACACTGAGAAAATGTCACATCTTTATAGATTAAAAGTTCTCATCTTTATTTGTCTTGTTTTCCATCAGCTGTACAACGAGGACGTACATCGAACTCCCAGAGCAGCCCAGGACAGTACCTGACCAATGGCACTGACCCGTACAATGGCCAGCCCTACCTATCCGGCTTCATTTCTCTGTTGCTACGCGCCGAGCCCTACCCCACATCTCGCTATGGGGCCCAGTGCATGCAGGGAAACAACCTGATGGGCATTGAGAACATCTGCGAGCTGGCGGCAAGGCTGCTCTTCAGTGCTGTTGAGTGGGCCAAGAATATCCCTTTCTTCCCTGACCTGCAGCTCATGGATCAGGTGAGTTGGCCACTTTGATGACTGACTAGAATTTACACCGAAAACATCCAAGAAAGCAAATAAGTGTTGAATTGAATGTTGAATTGCTCCCACAATAAAGAATGCAAAGAGAGCATACTGAGAGAGAGTATGAGAGATGACTTTTTGCATCCAAATGTAGAAACTTAGCATTAGGATGCTAATAAAATGCTCATATATGCAGTATATATAGTATATACCAACCCAAACATTTGCAACATGTTAAAATTTTTTGCATCACATCACAGTTCGTGTCTACTTGTATAGAAAATGTAGAGCCATTAAAAAAAGTTTTGATGTCATAAACATAATTTAGTTCTACTGTTCCTCTTAATCAAAACCAAAAGAAAGCTGTAATCCTATGAACCAACGTTTTATAATTTTTCACATGACATCTCACCCTCTGCTTACACTTTGAAAAAGAAGCCTGTAAGTAATTGAATTTTTTCTGTTATTATGCACTGAAGGCAGAAACAGGCACTCTTGACATTCAATATGGATAGACTTGACATCAATCCCGCACGTGTAGATTTATACCAGCTGTAAAGTCTTGGCACGGAAATCGTCTGACCTATAAATATTCACATGCACATTTGTCAGATATAGCCATCACAAATATGTTGAGCTATAGCCGCACAATATCATTAATATATTATTAACGTCATGTCAACATGTAAAATATATCTGTCCTGTCTCTCTCAGTAGTATTGTACGTTGTGTGTGTGTTTTCTATAAACCGCTTTTGATGTCTTTCATGATTCTTTTCAACATGCTATCAAAAGTCTCTATTTACATCTGGCATCAAAGTGTCTTGATTATCCAGGAAAGACAAAATAATGTAAACGCTTATAGTAAAAACAGCTACAAAGATGGTTCATATTAAGGTTGCATGCCGGTTGCAGGTCATGTCAACCCCTTGTGGGTATGTATGCATATCCTTGAATAGCTTCAACTTGTGACTGCTGTTCCTTATATATAAAAATCATGACTTTGGTTGTTCCCTTCGATCTGTAATTTGCACAGATAATTTGTGTTTTGTATTTTTTTACATTTAAAATATACCAAATTGCTTATTGCCCAATTACTTTAAAGAATCTAAATAATGCTAATTGTCATTTAACTTCAATTGACATTTTCAGTTGTGATCACCTCAAAGTTAATTTTCTATGAGGAATTTTTACATTATTTTGTCAACCTGCAAGATTCTGTAAGATCACTATTTTTCCATATTACATATTAAATACATATTTCTTCTTGTCATAACACGGGTTGTCGCATCCTCTTGTAATCTTTATGACCTTTAAAACTGACAATAAACACTTCATCATATTGATTGATCCTTACAATCTAGTTTGTGACAGTTAGGCGCTCTCTGTGAGCTTAATGTGCGTTTGTGTATGCTTCCTTCTTCCTTCCTCCATGAATGAAGCTCCTGTCCTGTGTGTAAAGTAGTTTGCATTTAATCTCTGATAACATGACCAGATTCTGACCATTTCCAAAATTTGAATTACGGTTTGAATAATGTTAATGATTTGTTAAAATGGGGTCTAAAGCCTGCTGTACTGTAACTTGCCCTTGAAATATGCAAACATTTTATAACATTTTTATTATTATTCACCATTGCTACTAGATACATCAAGTTAAATTGATTTGACCCTCTAAACGTACCTTTAGTGTTTGGAATCAATTGTTTGTTGTATTATAGTTCTATATATATATATATGTATA